CCACACCTTGTCCTCCTACGCTACGCCGCTACGCACCCCATGAAACACCAGAAGCCCGGCGGTAGATGCGGCGATAGTCAAGGGGGAACAACGCCTTCATAAATTCCATCCTTACAAGGTGCGACACACAAACGCAATGGCTGGGGCACATGAAGAAACCGAAAAGACTGGCAGCAAAAAAGACACATCCGCCATGTCCCAAAAAGCACTATTATAGGGCAAAAATAATCCATCCCAAGTGTCTCAGTGATGCCACCATCGCCATTTTCATCGAAAGCCAGAAAGAGCTCGGTGGCTTCCGAAGGCTTCATACCTTCCAAAAAGGGCGATCAACCAAGCTGCAACGCGGAGCTCGGAACCCGAACCGGAGAGCTAAATGCGGTGATTTGTCCTTCGGTCTTCAGGGTCTGGGTAGCAATCCCCACAGGGCGGGTCGGGACCGGAGGCGGGTCGGGCTGTTCGAAGACGGAGCCTTTTGGGCGAAGATGGGAAGAAACGGCCAAGGAGGCCAAGGTGGTTCAAGGCAGGACGGAACATCCCTGTTGCAGGAAGAGTGGACATGGTAACAGCTTTTTTTCATAAGGGAACTCCGGATCCATTCCATGGGCCAAGTCCAGTGAGCACCACTTGGCCGCACCAACAAACCGGTGGCTTTTCGTCCAGGGGCCAATGCGCATCTTGGCCACGAGATCGCAGAATTCGTCCATTTCCAACTCGCCATTGCCGTCCTTGTCAAATTTCGAGAACCTGGCACAAAAGAGGAAAGAGGTAGATGTTCAAGTCACTTCAAGTCAAAGTTGACAAACACTCTTCTTGATCTTGTCTTTGGATCCTTCCTTTTTCTTTTCTTCTTTTTCTTCAGACATTTTCTTCTTTTTCTTAGAGGACCCACGTGTGTTCTTCAAGTCATCTGAAGTCAATAGAACGTTGAAATAGATTAACGTCAGGGAACAACTTGGGCATGTGTTCTGCAGTGTAGCCCAGATTCTTCAGCTTTTGGCGGGTCTGCGTGATCAAAACGATTCTGTGCCGATCAGCCCATGTCTGGGACATGGCATTGCCCAGAACAGACAAAGGCATGGCCATGAAAAGAACCTTGGGAGAAAGCAGAAGAGAGCTTGAACATACTCGAACCAAGTGCACCTGCTGGTCTCTAGATAAAGTAGAAGCCTTCAGCACCTGTCTTCCTGTCTTGATAGGATTTTGTCCATCTTATTATGTTGCTTGGTGCTTGGTCGTCCAGAGAACACTGGTTACATTCTGGGCTTGGGTACACACTGGTCATCTCTGACGTCGACAAGACACACTGGTCAAGCAAAGAGCCCCGGCCATGATCTTTCCCACGGGAGACACCGGATTCATGTCGCAGGTTCCGACCGTGGTCACCGTCACAGTGCAGAGATAGATGGATGTACTCAAAGAATCCATGATTTCAGGCTCCAGGACATAGAAGGCACATCCAAAGACCAGCACAATCAAGCAAACGATGAACAGCAACAGCTTCAAAGCATCCATTGTTGTGGCCAGAACATGCAACAACAACTGCAATTTCTGGAACTTACGAATGAGTTTCAGCTGCCTCACGACAGGCACACAACCTTGGTTCCGCGCTGACAGAGTGATCACAAATCCTACTCATCCAAACTTTGACAGAACATGACAAACAATGAAGAAAACACATCTTAGTTGCAGCATGTGTTTCTAATGTTTCTCCCTCCTTCATGACTGAGATCTGTTCAACAGATTGTGTGAATTTTGCAAAAGGACCAGCAAACTCAAAAAGATTATCGTTTGCTTGGAAGCAGTACAAAACGTAGTGTACCACAGCATTCTCGTCCCTCGTGGGGGTTGCAATGCCAAAAGGAATCCGCACGGCGATTGGCAGGATGTTGCAAAAGTCAATGATGTTGTACCTTGAGGCGTTGAATGATGTTGAATGTGTTTTGCGTTTGGAATCCCTGGAGATCACTTTTCTGGTTGCTTTTACCTCGCTACCTCGCGTCGCTGTGGAATGGCGGGTACCTTTTTTTACAAACCAATTCCCCCGCACCGGGTGGTTGGAGGGTCTTCCGAGTTCCAACCTGTAAAGATGCATGCGCGCGAAAAAGCTCCTAGTAGCGTACTTGTTCCTAGTAGTAAGGCCAGGAGCCCCTAGTAGCGCCCTTGCTTCTAGTAGCGATGCCCTTTGTTCCTAGTAGCGTCCTATAGGTGCTTTTTGTTCTGGTTCAGATTTGAGACCATGGCAGGAGAAAAACATACCCAGTGCAGCTCACGTTGGAAGAGCTACGGATTCTTCAGGAAGGCTCTCCTCTCGCGGCTTGAAAAAAAATGCGCCACCAACTCGATCAACATCAAAGCCTCAACACCCAGCTGGATTGCACCTTCAATGAATCTGGGCACCACGGGCTCTGCATTGGCTTGCCAAACAGTGAACATGATGGCAGCCGTGACAAAGTAATTCATGAACTTGGCATACAACCAGGCAGCTTTGCTTGAATCCTCATCCTGCATGAACAGATACAAGTCAGTGACCGTCGCCTGACGCTTGAAGAACTCCGAGAAGGAAGCGTTACTGGGCCTTTTGACTCTACATCTGTTGGGTATTGGCCCTTCGGGCATCTCATCATTGGGAGTCGAAGTGCTACTGAAACTTGCGGAAGACCTGGACTCCGAAGCACTGGAATCCTCTTTCCCCTCTCTTTTCTCCTCTTTTTTCTCCTTCTCCTCGTTCTCCACTTCTGGTTGCTGGGGATTATCCGCATTCTCCGGCTGGTGCGGCAGGCTCTGCACATCTGACACGGGGAACACACGTGGTTCCAGCATCTGCGGGGGAGTATGTGGACTGAAGGGCTGGATGGGTTTGGGAAATCGGGGTACTCGTGAGCCAGGCTTGGGAGTCTTCAACTCCAGGGAGTCTGTGCCCTGAGAAGCCTGAGAGGACTCTTGGGAGTCAGACATGGCTGTTTTGGACATGAAGCGCGGCTGCGCCACGCCTGTCATGATCCGAGGACCGTGCGGACCGTGACTGTGGGCCGGAGCCTTCGGACCCGTCCGTGGCTCCTCCGAGGAGTCCGAGTCGGAGGGAGCCGTTCTTCGACTGAGCATAACTCGATTGCGAGAAAAATCCATCCCATCGGCAACGATCTTCTTCAAGCCCAGTATATGAGGCTTGGTGGAAAGGGCCTCGCTCTCTGGGAGTTGTTTATGCTCTTCTTTGTCTTTGAACGTGGCCAAATCTCGTTCGTAATGCTCCAGGACTTCAGCCTTCAACTGCTGGATCAACTGGTCCAAGTGGTCTCTGAACGCGGAATCCATGATGAGACGGTGTTTTTGGCGCTGCAAACTCGAAAAGAAGCTGGTGAAGTTGCTTTTTCTCGTCGTGGTGTCTAGCGTTATTTTTGCAGGGCTGAACAACAACATAGACCTCCCCCAAATGGGTGGGATATGTCATATGTGCTCTTTCTTCTCTTTAAATCTCACTACTCAACGGAACTGTGACAGCTGTGTGAGGAAAAAATTGACAATGAAAGACATCTCGTGCACGTCTTTTTCGAGTTGAGCTGGAAAGTGCGGTTGTCGACAACTTCGACAAATTGGCAAACGGTCTCCAAGACATGTCAATGAAGTGAACATTTGCTTGATCAACAACAGTGTTTGGACTTCAATGGTTGAGTCCTTGGTGATGAACATACCCCTACAGCTTCCCTGCCTCAGCTTGGAAGGCTTTCCTGCCCGTTCTGCATGCGTCGACGGATTTCAATTTACTTCATGGGATCTTGCTTTCCCTCGTGCTAGAAGAGCTCTTCTAGACAACTCAACTTATGTCCATCCAGAGATTTCTTTAGATAGGAGCAAGGACGCTACTAGGGGCTCCTTGCCTTACTACTAGGAGCAAGAAGCTGATAGAAACAAGAATTAACATTAATGTCTTTGTAAGCTTTCTTCGGACACGCCTCCCAGTCGAGGACGGAAGGCTCCACGTCGGTGTCTCCGGTGTCGTCCTTCACGTCGTCCCCCGTTTCCTGGTCGGACGCAGTGCGACCGGTGAAGCCACTGGAGACACATCGTTTCCACGTCGAAACGCGGGACCGGAGGCGGCGAGGTTTCGGTGTGTGGGGACTTCAACCGTCTTTTTGTAGCAACAAAACGGAGGGCGTGGGGCGGATATCAGCACAGGGATTGGAACCTTCAACAGGCCAAAAAGATCTTTCTTGGTTCATCTGAAGGGAATTGAGTCTACCTGAGCCTTTGCTGACACGCTAAGCCTTTGAGTGACTTCAAAAGAACGCTTCAGCAGGGGCATCGCTACTAGTAGCAAAGACACTATATAGGTGAAAGGATTCTATCGTTGTCTTTCTTTCGCATCCGTTTGACATCGCTCAAAAAGGTGCACGCAACGCGTGACTTGGAAGTCCCTGGGAAGGAGACGTATCTCTGAAAAGGCAATGATCCTCCAAAGCTTCCAACAAAAAGGAAGTTGCCTCAAGCGTAGAGCCAACTCCTTTTCATCTAAAGAGTATCCAGAGTGATGGCCTCCAACCTAATGGCGATGGCCTCCAAGGACACGCGGTGATCTAACCCCAAAGTTGCCTGCAAAGCACTTGCACTTCCTGTGAGCACGGACACACTCCATGTAACATCATGTAACTTGTCTTCTATGCAGTTGGTCCCATACTTGTGATCTTCCTTTCCGCAACGACTAGGACCCCAGAGAATGGGGATGTGATGGGAGTTCGTGATTCGCTCAAAAAGAGCCCTGCTACACCACTCCCTGCGCCATGACGAGCGCTGCTCATCCTCCTCATCCCATGCATGGCGTGAAAGACCTGGCAAAACTCGGCTGAAAGTCGGGGAACCCGAAAGTCGATCAGACTTGTCAAATCACATGGCCGTAAGTCCGTCTCATTTCTTCGTGTGTCAAATCAGGTGTTCCAGTGTCCCCCCCTTTTTTCTGGGTCTCATTTCGCGATCGATCGATCGATCGATCTTCAGCGGCTGAATCACGATCTGACAGAAATCCCTCGTTCTTCGAAAAACTTCAGAAGTTGATTGCGGGACTTCCCATCGCTCCAACCACGGGCAGGCAACTGGACTGCTTTGAGATGCCTCATCAAAGACATGGCAGGGACCAAGCTGTGCAAATCCTCTCCAAGCATCTCACCAAAGTCTAACTCTTCAAAGAAATGTGCAAGGTTTGGCTGTTGCAGAAATCTTATGCTCAGGCACTGCGGCTTGTTGTCTCCTGAGCGCTTCAAGGGTCGACCCCTCGCCGACAGCCTCCGGCCTCCGAGCACTGTCTCGGGGCAGGGGCAGGCGAACATGCGGCAGCGCTGCCAGAGTGAATCCTGAACCACCTCATGGCTAAAGCGGGAGACCCTTCGAAAGCTGGCCAGATCGACGCAGCTGAGGAAATTCGAAATCTTCAAGCAAAGCACCTCAGGCAAGAACTCCTGGTGTCGAGGCTTCCGACGCTTCGGTCGCTTGCTCGGACGAGGCGAAACACAAAGCGCCCCTTCATTCAGCTGGTTGCTCGCCTTGGGCTTCTCTCGCTTGATCATCTGCATCCAGGCTCGGTGGCCTCTGCGTTCTCGCTGGGACGGAGACAAGCCTTTCAGGAGCTTCAGGGCACGTTGAAGGGATTTGCCGGACCAACCTAAGAGTTGACAGAGATCCTGAGCCGCTGCTGCCTCTTTGGGATCTCTCTTGGCCTCTGCTGCTCCCCTTTTCCCACCCTTCTTGCTTTCTTCCGGAGTTTTTCGATCCACTTTGGGGAATCCCGCATCTGAGCGTTTCCCGCGGACCCGCCGTTTGGCCGCTGGCGGCATGGCGATCAACTCAACCAAACAAGGTGGCTTGAGCCTCGAAAAACCCGCGGTGGCGTGGCACCTCTGTGTGACTTTCGCCATGTTTGAAACAGAGCTCAACTTCGACACACGTGTCTGCGCAAAACGACCAGCTACACTCTCCCAAACACAACCAGTGCCGGACTTGAATCTGCTTGACCAAATGAGCTGAAACGAGTCAGCATCACAGATGTTCAACTGCCAGAGCCAACGCTGCGCTGCACAGCCTGGCCGTGTTTTTGGGTCTTCTTTTCTCACCCTAATTCATGAAATCAACAGGAACAAAAACAACATATTATGTTCTTCTTTCTATTTATCTTCATTCTGTTTGCACGTATGTCTTTTCTTCGCACCACTCCAAGCCAAAAGGCAAGCCACCGTCCCTCAACGGCGCCGTCGCGACGTCCTGCGTCCGGACGCCTCGGATGCGATGCCGAAGGCCTCAGGTGTGGACTTGCGGTTTTGGCTAAGGCCTTCGATGAGAACCAGAAGCTACTAGTAACAAGTGCATCGCTTCTAGTAACAAGTGCCTTACTAGTAGTAACAAGAAGCTACTAGTAACAAAGGGCATCGCTACAAGGAGCAAGGACGCTACTAGCGGCATTAGAAGCCTTCGATGAGAACCATTGGGCCTAATAGCCATGGCCTCCAACGGAGAGCCAAAGGATCCGAAGTTTTGTTGGGCAACAGCCTTGTTCCAAAAGGTGAGTTTCAGTGGGTGAGCACCAATTTTGGGTACAAGGGGACACATTTTGTTGGATTCCTCTGCAAAATGTCTTCAATCCATTGACAGCGGCCTGTCTTTCTTGCGAATTCAAGTCCATATCGGGGAGTCCATGTTGGGTGTGTTCATCCGTTTTGGCAAGAGAATCAGATCCCCAGATCCCCTAACCCCGCCTTGCCAAGCTGGCACAAAACGCAGCACATTGTGCGGACAAAGAACACTGGTACTCTTTGACCGCTTCTTGATCACCAAGCACGCAAAATGAGACGGAATACACTCTAACTCTATATAACTATGTGACCCATTGGGTTCAAATGGAGATGGCAATTTTCAAGAAGCCTCAAGAGGACTTCTGAGTGGAATTGCACAGCTGCAAAGAAACCGTTCTGGCTTGAGCCAACATCTTCGACGACAAGCAAGTCGCCCCCCCAAATATCACATCTTCGGTAGCACAAGATACTTAGCATGTCAACCGGTCTCAAACCGAGCTGGGAGCAACGAGCACATACGAGCACTTGTTCACCGACCTGCCGTCGTACCTCACACGCCGCGTACCTCACACGCCGCTCTCTTGGAAAGCTGACTGCGCGTGGTCGACGCGGAGCGTGTCTGGGCCAGATCGTGAGACGGTGACGTCTGTGCGGAATCGGCGTGCGTCATGGATCTTCGGCCACACATCTGGAGGCGGGAGCGGAGGATTTGGTGACGTCAGGGCCGGAGCTGGTGTAACAAGGAGCTGGAGACGCATGTGATCAAGCTACATGAACAGACGCATGGCAGCCACATGGACATGAAAACAGAAGAGGGAGGTGAGATAAGATTCATGTTTTTACGCTTGTGAGTTGAGCGTTGCACTTCTGTCTCTTGACATCTTCCCTGACTTGTGCTCTAGAAGGTACTTTTTCCATGCTAGACTGAGTGAGAGAGAACCTGCTATAAGCCTGTCACACTGAACAGAGTTTCAACCACGTGTCAACCTCTCACATGGTGCTGGAAGAATATCCTCTCGACTTGCCATGACTTCCAGGGCTTACGGCTTACGACCTCCGGTCGACCTCACAGCCGGTCGACGGCTTTGGGGTGACGACGTTGGTCTTGGGGCGGAATGCCCAACCCATCTGGGTCACCGGAAATCCTCCCAATTGCTCAAGAGACGCAGCTGCCAGCTGCCAGCGCAGCTGTAGCACAACAGTGCCAGCAAACCAGCTGTTTACAGCTCCAAAAATCAGGCTCTGTCGAAGATCCCTGGGGCCCAAGGATCCATCGTTGGGTTCTGAGGTCCCAGGAAGAGTGAGAGCCGCCTGAGCTGACATCGAGGGATCGTGGGCCTGAATACTCCGCTTCCAAACTTTCTTCGCCTTCTCAAGAGAGCCGCCATACTTGGAGGAGGGAGGCAAAATGGACCTCCATTGAGGGCTGCTAAGCTATGATGCTGCTCCTTCTGTATCGGATGGCTTTGATTTCTTCCTTCAACCAGAACAGGATGCGTGATGCGTGTGTGCAAATCAAATCGACTGTGCCCAGTGCCCCCCCCATGATTTGGGTGGTGTGAGAAGAAAAGACGATCTTAAAGATCGTGATCTGCTTTGATCCTTTCCGTCTTTGCGTATCCTCCCATGACTTGAGGGGGCCTCTGCAACAATTGCATGTGTAATGCTGAAGACAAACACCACCACATCCCACTGCCTTTTTCGAAAAACCTACTGAAACCTCTACAATTGGAACATTCGACATTTTATCACAACGGTGCTCATACCCCCACATCCCACGTGGGTGCTGCGTCTCCGGAGCGTCAAAAACGCTCCATCGCTAGACATCGAATGGTGTTCGCCTCGCAACACCACAAGGTGCCCGGGACGCCTGGAGAAGATGCGCCGTTCTCCCCAGGCACTTTGGATGTCGATGCTGGCTGAAGTGGCCCCGTTCGGGGCACCAGGTTTATCCAATGACCGCCTCAAAACTGAAGAAAGGGGGTCTGGAAGAAAGGGGTGGATTCCAAACCAACTCCACATCTTCCTGAGCACATCTTCAAAACGAATTCTGCTCCACCCCTTTGCAACGCCTGCTCCAGTCACTGGCTCCCCTCCGGAGCAGCAAAAGACTTCGTGTCTGGGCACGAGGGTTGCATCCGTGATATCAGATCTCCAAACCCCGGCGCAGCCCCGAAACGACGAGGGCGAAACACTTATGAGTCGGTGTGAGACTGCTGATTGGGGAAAACCTGCCACGTGGGGTGTATATAGCTAGCTGAAGCTGTTTGATGGCAACTTGTGGGTAAGCATACACCAAACAAAGCGAAGGAAAAAGGAAGTCTTAACCACATCCACAAAGAAATCCAATTGCCCTTCAAGCAAAGAATTCACCTAGTGGGTCCGTGTTCAGTGCGCCTCACGTCCGACCCACGTCCAGTGCGCCCCCGTAGATGGGCTGCGACGACCTTCATCCTTGGGATGAGAAGACTCACGACCTTCATCTCGGCAATTCGAGGCATGGACCAAAGGGCATCGCTACTAGGAGCAAGGACGCTACTTACTAGGGGCGCTCCTGGCCTTACTACTAGGAGCAAGAAGCTACTAGTAACAAGCAGAAAAAGATATAAACAATTACGCCAGAATTCAATAGTTGTGCAAATCATCGACGACTCTTCGTGCAACCCTTTATTCTTCCATCGGATTTGGAACATGCAAACGCAAGGGGGGATGGCGCCATGTTTTTTCTTTTCTTTCCTCTGTGCCCATCATTGATGCTGGATGGTCACAATAGAAGATGGAAATTCACCACGTCATCTCCATCTACTTCTCTTCCAGGACACAAAAACCTATGAGCCTGGGGTGCTCATCTGCTCATGGCTTTGGTTCAGTTCCGAGTTCAAGCAGGTGTATCGGTCTGCTGTTCGCTCGGTGCGCTTTTCACTCATCCTCTCCGCATGACTTCCTGGACAAACCACAAGGATCGTGAACACCCCCCTTTCCACGGGGCACTGCCATGGTTTCCAGTAAGGTTCATGGTTCTTCCGAGGATTTGGACACCCAAACTGATTTGGTTAAGAAACCAAAGTCTTCATCTTGCTACACCACACATTACACGTCCACCCTCGCCGGTCGTCGCTCGTCTCCAAAAAAACCCCACGGGGCCGGCGCCCGCGGTCGCTGTCCCGCCCCGTCCGGCGGTGCGTCGCGGCATCGGCGGTGCCGCGCGCAGCGTCTTCCGGGTCGGGACGCGGGGAGACCCGGGGGTTTGATCCGGCAGCGTAGTGGTCACGCTGCCGGAAAGGAGAAGGATCTTCAGGAAGTTGTGGCAAGGTTGCTTGAAGGGTGGAGTCTGCTGTTTGTACTCGCCGCAGGGCAAGACTGTTTGGAAACGATTTCCAACCTGATCCAAGGCATTTCAACGAAATGGTCGTCATTGAGTCTTCAAACACTTACCATGGGGCAAGGACGCTACTAGGGGCTCCTGGCATCGCTACTAGGAGCATTCTTACTAGGAACAAGAAGCATTCTTCTCGCTCTTTCATGGGTCAGACGTGGTCTGGTCAATCCATCCGCACGGAAGTCGTACTTCGATCGAGGACCCTCTCCAAGTTTCGAATTCGCCGCATTCGCCCGTTCCGTCCGTCGAAACGGCGCAGGTGTCACGGCCATGCACGCGGTTCCAAGCAGCGGAGGAATGGCTCTATCGAACAAATGGCTCAATACCTGTTAGGGGACCCCCTCCAGGCTGCAGAGGACAGACCCTACAGAAGGGGCATTGGGCTGAACAAAAAACATGATCACTGATCACTAGCTTTGGAGCTTTTCAGGGGCTGTTTTGGCCCCTAGGGCCCCGGGAGTTTCTGTTCCGGAACCAGACTTGCTTGGATCTTTCTGACATGGTCTCCATCCTAGCCAGATGCCCAACAAGGATGGAAACAAGGGGCTCCAAATGGCTCTACGCCACAAAACCATTTCCACAACAACAGCTCATATATATACTGCATACATGTATATATATAATACAGTAGAGATATCCTAGAAGTCCAAAGACTGTTCTTGGAAACCCCCGAAGTACATAGCCTGACTGTCGGGTACCTGACTTGATGCCGCCACGGTAGCGGCGCTGCTTCTCCAACTTCCTCACCGCCGCAGGACTCGCCCCCTCACACGCTTTTACACACTTTCTACTTCGGGTCCCGCCTATACGAGCAAAAACAGCCTGCGTGGGCCCTCCGTGGCATTGGTGGCATTTGGCATCCTGAGAGCTGCGGAGACGTGGCTCAAAAAGCCAATTGGTGATATGTCCTGATCCTTTCACAATAGACAATGCGTTGCATGTGCTTTCAGCCCATGGGGCCCAACAATCGCCTTCCACTGAGAATATTTCTTGCCATCTTCAACTGAAACTTCGGGGGTCAGAAAACACGTCGTTGGAACTCAGGACACATGGACGCTTGTTGCGGCATAGCTTTTGCACTGATCTCCTTGTCCATCTCATGTCACTTCCATGCTGAAACGTGGTTGGTGGTTTCAACTCGCTTGAACATAATATGAGTCAGTGGGTTCAGTCATCCCAATTTCAAACATCCGAAACCACCACGACACATACCGTCCGTCCCTCATGTGCTGCGTAGCTCCAAGGATCAACCAGGCGACCAGCAAACACTGAAGAAAGGAATTCATTGCTCGGGAGAAACATGGTGTTTTCATCTGCTTTCATTGCTGCTTGAAGGCAGCGCAAAGAAGGGGGGGCTGAGCTCAAAAATGAACCCACAGACCCTCTTCGTCTTATTCCAGATTGGTAACCTGGTAACCTGGTAGGGACTTCTATAGAGAGGTTTCAACGCTACCTACGCCACAAGAAACGTAACCCAACGAACGTGGCCATGAAAAGGTGCGTGGGGTTCTTTTTCAGGTACACTCCCTGAAATTTATCGAAGTGGAACAAAACCACAAAACCACCCCTGAAAGACCCTGGTTCTCTACAAACAGTTGGTTTTCCACTTCCACCTTCATCACCTGCAAAATACCCACATCTTTCAACCCCCCACCACCCCACGCCGTTTCTCTTCGCGGCATCTGCACCGAGGTGTTCTGTGCCACCTCGGAGGTGTTCCTCGGAGCCGTGGGGGGGCGGGGGTTCCGAGTGCCCTCGAACTGGAGAGGACGGGGAAAGTGAGATGGCAGACAAAGGCACTCCAAAATGAAGACCCTATAAGATTGGGTCTTGGGATTCAGAGGAATGTGGGGACTTCAAAGGAATGTGGGTGGATGCGCATGCGTGCCGGGTAGCAGCCTGCCGAAGAAAGACGGAAAGGAACGTGGTTGGACCCACGAACGGCAAAACACTGCACTTGCCGAAGAAAGAGCGCTTGTTGATTGTAGTAACAATGTTCGCTATTAGGAACAAGTGCATCGCTACTAGTAACAAGTGCCTTACTAGTAGTAACAAGAAGCCATTAGAAACAAGTGCCTTACGAATGCCTTTCGTGTGGAAGCTGAGGTATTGCTTTACCACCCTTTGCAACGAACCAGATTGTGTAAGCATGTCTAAAGTGCCTATCAAAGGCTTGTAGGTCTTCCGTTCTTTCCCAATTGAGAACCCTATTTTCCAAAACCTTTCGAAGCAAAGCTGCCGCAAAATCGTCGCCAACAGAACCGTCCTGAGAGTAAATAATAGGAACAAGTTTATTGCAACTGCAGTCCCTCTATTTTTCGGTGAGAAGAACTGAATGCTAACACTTGGTGGAAACCACGAACCACACCACATCGGCAGGAGCTGCACCGTGCAGCGGCGCAAAGCGGCCATGTCTTGTGGCCCAGCCACGTGCTCTCAGTGGAGGATCTCCCACCGAGCCAGCGAAGGTAGAGGTAGGCCTGGAGTCTCCCAGACCGGGGAAGCAAGGCCAAGGACGAGGTAGCAAGGAAAAAACAAAGACGCTTTGATCGTCATTCCCTAGCCTAGCGGGCCCAGCACGCCTAGCTTGCCTTCCTTTTTGTAGGGATCCTTTTCAGCTTGGGTGTTTCAACAGCTGAGGCTCTCCCAGTTGCGCCGACCAAAGGTTTTGATAGTCCTCCCGCTTTCAAGACACTGGAACAAAGAACCCAACACACTTTTCGCTTGTTTTGGAGGCCGCCGCGTTCTGTTCTTTCCCTATTTGGTGGCCACCTTGCGCCTCGGCCCTGGTATCCATCAAGGTTTAAAACCCTTTGAAGGGAAGCAGCCACACTGAGCGGATGCTTCGAGGCAACACTCCAAGAGAGTGATCCCGCAAAAAGTGCAACCAGCACTCTCAGTTTGGGAAAGCAAACACTGAACAATGCATATTTCAACCTGCACCCCTGACTCGAACAAGCTCTTCGACATGGAGGCTGGAATGCAGACTCAAACATCGCAGGTGGTGTGTCTGGCAGTCCTGGAACAGGAACTGTGGAAGTGGCATATTGGATTTTTCTCCAGCTCAACAGGAACCTGCTCTTTGCTTGGATTCACTGTCGTTCTGAACCAAGCTCCATCTCCAAGCGCTTTTCACCGGGTGCACACACATGAGAGAGAGAGAGAGAGAAAGAGCAAGCTCTCCCCTAAGAAGCAACACGGGGACAGGGACTCAAACAGAAAAGGCAAGAGCTCTTCTAGTTTGGGGGCTCTGTCATCCACTCCCAGGAATCTCCATCTAGGCCGAATCAATTGGGTCTGGGAACACACCTTTCGCTGACTGGACACTCCAAATCCAAAGGACCGACCCCCAAAAGAGCAAGTCGAACCGTGACAACTCGGAAAGATCGACGCTGCCTGCGAAAACCCAACTGATCGGTTCGAAAGCGCGGCCTGCGAACGCTGAAAGCGCCACATGCCGCGGTTCATCTGATGCTGCACATCACCTGCCAAAAGCAACGTCAAGCGGGTTTGGGTTCGATGATGGTCATATCATATGCAACTGCTGATGCGAAGCAATCCAAGCAAAAGAAACCTCAATTAGTGCCTCTTGAGTGGGAAGCTCTCTTGAGCACAAGAATTCAATTGGTCAAACGAAACCCATGAACGGCTTGCTGTATCCCTTTCCAAGTGTCACAGAAAGCTGAGCTTGCTTCATTTTAATCACAGAAGACTGATCCGAGGCTTGCCATAACCGTTCGAATATATGGGAAGAAAAGGCTCGGCTTGACATTGAAAAAGGTCATTTTCGCCTTTGCTCATCCACTTGACCTCGGAAATCTCATGGTCCGGCCCTTTGCCGGGGTTTCCGTCCTGCACGTCGCGACCCGGTGGCGGCGACATTCGGACCTTACCCACGAAAATAGAAGGAACAAAGGAGGGAGGTCAGTACCAACACCCGTGATTTGGATTGGAACATGCATGGTCAGGCGATGTCCAGTTCAACCCACGCAGTTCGCCGACACCGTGGACTGTCCTGGCCTTGCGTGGTTTGTTTCGGGTCACAGGGAGTTCACTGAGCTTCAGACGGTGGACGTTTGAGGCCGTGTGTCTGATCTGTGGTGAAGACTCGTTTTCTCGGGTTTCTGGGCACTTCTTTTGGATTGCTGCGAAAAAAAACAATTCATTGCCGAGTTTGGCAATCAACGGGATGCCTGCCCTCCTATCCTCTCCAAGAACGATCGCTCAAGAGCAACAGGGACCCAAAGCAAACTCAAAGCAACACCTTTTGCAACTACAGCCTCACCACGGTTCCATGACCCCGGCCATTCCATGGATTTTGGGTGTGCGAATCAGGCCATCCAAGATCGGCGACAGACGTGTGTCTGAGACCCGGAATCCCGCCGGAAGCCATTCCGGTCCGCGAGTGTTCCTCGGGTTCTCTGGTTCCCTATTTCGTCGACGTAGAACCCACCTTTTCGTCAGTGGATCGTGGATCTCTCGTCGCGCCCTGGACGGTACCGAAGAGACATCCCAAAGCCCCGGAGAAGAAATTTCAGGTCTCCTCGAGGAAGCACTCGTAGATGTGGAATCCCCCGCGCACGGTGGCCAAGTGTTTGCCTCCACGGAAGGTTGGGTTTGGACGAAATATAGGCGGGAGGGTTGGAGCTATCTAGCTATCTACGGCATTCTTTTTTGTCATGTTTGCTTTGACAACAAAAACCAGTCTTTCTTTCTTTTTCAGAAAGAAGCGTGCATCTTCACCAGGATCTCTCTTTTTGGGCATGTAAGTAGCATAGGTCATTTGATTTGCGTCCCGCATCCGAACCTTTTCTGTGCAGTAAGTTGCCACCGCACTCCCATAGCCTTCTTTTGGAGTTTTCATCTTGCCTGGCTTGTCCTCTCCCAAGAAAACTGCTTAGCTGCCAGGTGGGTCATCTTTTCGGCTTTCTGCCCCCCGGTGAAAAAAACAAACGGACTAAAGAGCAAACAATCCAGAAGATCACCAATCCACTCACACCAACATCATCCCTTAACAAATATAAACACGCACACACACACAAAAAACAAATTCACTTGAGGTTGCCACATCCTTTCCACAAAGGATAGCCGTTTCCACCGTGTTTCCACCGAGGACTCTTGGCCCTCACGCCTGCGGTGACGCGGTATCCGGACTCTTCCCAGGTCTCTCGAACCGCGGTGCGGGAGGCCGGCTCCTTCCAATTCGTCTGCCCTGTCGAAGAGGGTGAAGGCGAAGAGGGTGAAGACGATCAACGACAGATATGGATGAAATTATAGATGCACATGAAATGTATATATATATATATAGACTAGAGAATCTACTGTAGAGTTGGGTGAAGACGGTGCCTTTCGTGTGTGGAAGCATAGCAGTTCCACAGTGGGGAGTTTGGAGTGTATAAGAGTTTTCCACTTCATGTAGGGGTGGTGTTGAGTCCCAACCGGATGTGACAGGGGCACCCCGGGGAGTCCCCAGGGCCCTACCCAAGTTCGATGACAAACCCCCATGGAATGATGTAAAAGACATTGATCTTCCCAACATGGAAGTGGACAAGCCTGTTTTTTGAGGATTTCATGGTCTTTCCAGCGGTCAGGACGTCCACTTCGAATGGCATTGAAGCAGCCCATCCGGCGCGGCACCCTGGTGTCGCAGTGTCAGCCTAGCTAATGGTCTGTGCCGCCAGGCATGAGGCATGTGGGTGATGCAGTGTCTCCTTCTTCAAGGACCTTCCTCTACCTTTCAGCATGGTTTGCCCAAAAGGCCTTTCACTCAAACGGCCAGCGTGAGATTCCTCAAACCGTGAGAACATGGCATTCATCATTCATCTTGGCACATACCGATGTGCCTGACCTCATGAAGAGTTTTACACAGGGCTTCCCTCAAAGTATATATAGTATTATAGTAGTAACAAGAAGCTACTGGGGGCTCCTGGCCTTACTACTAGGAGCAAGGATGCTACGGCTCGTAGCAAGAAGCTATATAATTTCAGGGCTTTCTGGCTTCTTCACGCCAGTCAGCATGACTTGTACGCCATCCCTTTTTGGCGCTTTCCACCCCCAAAATCGCCGAGAAAACGCCAGCGTGAGCCCTACCCAATGACGTGAGCCGCGATCGGAGCTCAAGTGCCTTTGGATTTCAAGAAAGCCACCCCGAAGCTTTTGATCAACGAAGCTCGCAAACACGCCCATTTCACCGGTCTTCCTTTTTGTTCATCACTCCTCAACCGGCACTTCCCGGTTTTCTCTTTTTCCACGTGGAACACATCGCACGACCCGGATTCTCCCGGATTCTCGGCACCTCCAGGGATGTCGTACTTCCGACCTTCAGAGCGAGCGTGTCGTACGTCCGCCACGTGGTGGGAGACCATGGGGTATGAAAATAGGACCGGAAGAAGGGAAAATCGAGTTGAGTCTATACCCATTTGACTCTGAACCAAGACGCAAATTCCTACAAACAGGACAGAACTCCTTCTTCCACACTGATTGAGGTTGGTCATAGCCGACTCAGGATGCTCAGGATGCTTCAGGTTTGAAACTTTGTTCTGCACTGACTCGAACTTATGCCACCTCCACCTGCACTCGACCAGTTGTCAGTACTTCTGGGTGGAAACAAAGAAGACTTCTAGCTCCCCGATGAAAAGCGGCTTCAAGGCTTGTTCAGGAACCGCAAAAAGACCCGCAGTCGACAGGAGAGAAACACCAACGATCACATGAAGAGAAATCGCGGGCCTCCAGCGTGCAACAATCACCCTTGCCCATCAGTCAAAACAGGCTATCTTTTGGGGGCAAGAAACACATCGTTTTTTCGACGGTAGAGCTTTCAACAAGGTAGAGGTATTTCCTCTAGCGCCAGTTTCCGTTCCAAGCTCTTCTCACCTTGTAGCTGCAAGAACGAAACATGCTCAGAAAATCACCCAACAAGCAAAAAACCCACAGCTTTGTTCTCTCTCATTCCAATTTTTGACGACAAACCCCAACAACACTCAGCTTGTTGGAAAAAACCTACCCAAACACCTACCAACCCGGAAAATGAGAAGTTCGGCACCTCCAAACCACCGAGCGAGCGGCCATCGTAGGTGAGCTTCACTGCGAGCATCTCGTTCCCCCGGCGCACGAAGCAGCCCGCGTGGCCGGCACCCTGGTGCCCCAGGGCCTGGTGGCGAGGGAGAAGCGAGCGGAAGAGGCCGCCATGTGGCCAAGCACCATTGCTTTCAAGGGTCTTTAGCGAAGAACCAGTGTTTTACGGATTTTTGGGCACGATCAAAGACCAGGTGAACCATTTTTGGAACACTCTTGGGGGCCCATTATGGGCCTATTGTTGCCGCACTATGGGCCTATTGTGGCAAACAAAGAACCTCAGCCCCTAGTAGCTTCTTGCTCCTAGTAGTAAGGCACTTGTTACTAATAGCTTCTTCTTGCTACTAGTAAGGCACTTGTTACTAGAAGCGATGCACTTGTTCCTAGTAGCTTCTCTTCAAGGTCCCGGAAGAACCGCATTCCTCTGGCGTCACGTTGCAACCGCCGAAAGACGTTCGAGACCTCGGACCGGAGGCTCGGACCTTGGGCGTCACGCCCCAGGTATGGCTCGCTCCCCTGGATTTCACGACTCGCCCAATGGATTTTCACCCCTTTGTGACTCCTGGATGTGTGTTCCTTTTTTTTAGAATGTTTATTTTTTTTCAATGCGATTGAACGAAAGGATTTGACAACACCCGGACGTTCCCAAACTCTTCGAAGGGTCTTCTCGGAAGGCTCGGTAGAGTCCAGTGCACGATGACTCGATTTGGGCACCACCGAATGTGTTTCGGACTTGTTCCGGGATGTCGGGTAACATCAACAAGAAGCTACTAGGGGCTCCTGGCATCGCTACTAGGAGCAAGGACGCCACTAGGGGCTCCTGGCCGTACTACTAGGAGCAAGAAGGCTACTAGGAGCAAGAAGCTACTAGACCATGCAGATGGTGACAGGGTGTGCAGGCCTGTGCCATGATCCCCAGCATCAATGAGACGCGGCTGCAGCTGCCAAATACCTCAGCCAGGTCTGCTCGGTGGAGCTGGGACCAGATGCGTCCCCAACGACTGGTCTGGGAGACAGCGTCCTTTGCAATGAAGACGGTGGAAAACACCACAAAGCACCCATGTGACTTGCTCACTGACTTGCTCCTGTCAAGTACAGTAGGATCAAGTATCTGAATCTTCCAAGTCATCCTCCCAGAAAGCACCGGTCCTCCTCCTCCTCCGCCCTCTCCTCGTTATTCAGTTTCTGGCCATCTTCCCTAGTGTAATAGCCATCTAACCCCGAAATCACCACTTTGAAGGGTACAACAACAACTGCTGTCGAGGGTCTAAGATTTCTCAAGGCAGGTTGATTTGACTTCGGTTGGATTCGATTCTCTTGTCCTTCAGAAGGTCGAATGCAACGAAGGAAGAACCATCTTCTGTCCGAATGTTGGCACTCTGAGCTACTAGAAGCCAAGTCAATTTCCTCAATAATTCCTGACATGATTTTCGGCACTTCCAGAATGACCATCCCCGCCGCCACCCTGCGCACACCACAAGCCCTTGATGCAGCTGGAAGGCCATTGCTACGAGTTCTGTTCCTTGCAGAAGAGAACAACCGGAGCAAGCCAAAAATGGGCTGCGAGTGGTGCGACCTTCGACTCATCACCAGCGGATGAGAATCATTCATAAAGCAATGCAGCAAGGCTCTGAAACTCTGAATTCGTGGCTTCACTGATGGTGAACTCATGAGGGGCCTAGGGTGAGGGTCATCTGCCTTCTACCTGACTTACCCTTCTACCTGGACAAGTCCAGTCAGTGGCCATCCTTCGGTGGAAAGCACTGCTTCGCCGCGTGTTTTCTCAACGTCGCTGCAGGCGGGCAACTTCGCCGTGCGGGTACCTGAGAGCAAATGAAAAAGAAGCAGTGAGTTGGCGGGCGTTCTTCCTCCTCCTCCTCCTCTTCTTCTTCTTCTTCTCTTGATTTCGTTCCTTTCAGTTGAAAGGGTACATGTCGCATAACTCAGGATTGGTTGTTGTTCTTGCAACGGACGAACCACCGCCACAGATTGAACTCCGACTTCGGTGGCAAGTTCCGCCTCGCAGCTTCTGCAGCCACCGTCCTGCCCGAAGCTGTGCCACGTACCTGCGCAGCCACGGTATCAACCTACCTACTGTTGATGCACTCCCGAAATCCCCAACATCCCACCAATTTAGAGGGGTTCGGCCGAAACTTAAAAAAACAAAACATGTCTTCCAGCAGTGCCCACTCCAAGGGGTCAACATCAAGACTTTGGGGATTGCGGAACTACCCATTTTTCACCGGTAAACCTTTTTTGGAAGACGCTCTGGTGAGATTTCTCGCCACCTTTCGGAGTTCCCAAACACCCACAACGAGTTGGTGATTTTCGTTTGACACAACTTCAAACACATCACGAACGGAGCTGTCCTGTCGATTTGGCTTTGGGCGGGCGGTGGATTGCAGCAAATCAGAAATCAGTTGCTCAGGTTCTTCCTCGATCAATAACTCTGAGCCTCGATGCATTAAAAACCCCTCCCTCTCTGCCCCAGGCATCTTCCAGCCAGTCTGGGGTGTCGATTCGCTCTTTCTTTCATCTTATTCATGCAGCAGCTGGATTCCGGCTAAACGTGTTGTGCAGCTCATCGGTTTGATGAGCTCAGAATCAGAAGCAACAAGCACAGGACCTCAGCGAATCAAGGACTCAGCGACGTGCTTCAACAGCTCTCAGCAAGCAAACACCTCTCTATGTCAGATCATGTCTCTACCAGTGGAAACAGGGATGCGGGTCCCGCGTGGTGGGCTTGGGGGACCATCCCCTCCAAACAGGTGTTCGACATTCCACCAGGTCGATATTCCACCGCCGTCATGTGCAACCCGTCGGGTTGAAGCTGGCCGCAGTGCACAAACGGTATGTCGACAATCCGTCTTCTCCCCCCAAAACACACGAGTCACCCGCTGAATCAATGAGGCTGCACTTGGATGAAAAGGCAACTTTTGAAGATCCAACTGCTCTGTTCCCAACTTCACCCGATGTCTGTTCGGCTTCGTCTTCGGCCCCCCTGCTGTGGCGCTAGCATCTTTGGAGACCGCCGAATTGGTGAGTGCTGAGCGCACGCCGCACAGGTCGAAGTCTATTTGCTCTGGGGCGGGTAGGACATATGCGCATCATATCACCCTACAGGTCAGGAACTGACCTCATTTTACTGTAGTTGATCATGCAAAAACACTACTTGATGAACTAAAGGACCAGCCTTTTACTGGGTCAAACTGACCTGTTTCACGATGTTCCACTCACCTGCTAAGATGCTAAACATGAAGGGCCACGGTGATGGTAACGGATGTGGAGGGAGGAGTGCTTTTCTCAGCTCTTTAGGGATAACCACACCAAACGATACAGCTTCGAACTCCATCTCCACAGATTGTAGCTTCACATGGCAACAATGAATGAACAAATGCAGGCTGCAAATGCAAGCAACTTATTCTACTCTACTCCACAGCCATTGCACTCACTAGCGAAGAAGCCTTGTCGGTCTGGGGTGTGCTTATCATCCACTGGCTGGATGGGACAAAACTACCACCCCTCCCTTGCTGGAACTCCAGGATCGATTAGACATTTCCATTCTCCTATTGTTGTTTGATCTGATTTGATCTTGAAGCAAGCTTCAAACACCGCGAAAAAAGCAAAAAACACATAACTCTTTCAGTGCACATGCTGTATTCCGAAGGGCCCGAAGATCCGAAAAGCCCGAGCGACTCCGTGAGGGTGAAGTGAGGGGCCAGCACTTGGCACACATGGAGGACGAGGATCAAAGCAACCAGCTTATTGTTTCTAATAGCTTTTTGTTTCTACTGGTAAGGCACCTGTTACTACTAGCGTGGCACTTGTCACTAGTAGCCATGGTTTCTCATCTCTTTTGTTTTGGTTCCACAGGCGTTTTTTTTCCCGTTCCGGGGGGTTGAGTGCAAACAGGCAATGACCCATCTGCGCCCAGAAGTCGGTCCACCAAAACCACCGAAGACAAACCGTCCTCCTTCAGTCCTCGGTGGAACCCGAGGACTGAATAAGCAAACAGGAGTTCTAGTCGATCATTGATGGATCCATGTACTTCCTCCAAATCGGTTTTGGGATCTCTTTCTTCTTCGATCTTCTCTCTCTCCACGACCTTCCGCCACCACCGAACGTTCTTCGGGGCCGGACAAAGCCCGTTGGGCTCATCTCCCAGGTTGAAGCCAGGCCTCGACGCGACTCGATGGGCGACTGGGCGACTTGCCAGGAGCTATCTTCGTAGCTTCTTGTTACTACTAGTAAGGCACCTGTTACTACTAGTAAGGCACTTGTTCCTAGTAGCTTCTTGTTACTACTAGTAAGGCACTTGTTACTAGAAGCGATGCACTTGTTACTAATAGCTTCTTGTTACGTAATATGCACATAGTAGCGTCCTTGCTTCTAGTAGCGATGTCCTTGTTACTACGTAGTAGCGTCTTTGCTCCTAGTACTAATGCCCGCCCTTTGCTCCTAGTAGCTTCTTGTTATTCGGTGTTTTTCGGTCTCCTCTTTTGGAGCGCCCACATGATTGGGCCTCAAATGGTTGACACATAGAGCTAGTCATCTTCAATGCTCTTCGATGTTCGTGCTGGGGCTGCGGTTCAACTCGCTTCGGCCAACAGACACATGGGAGCAGTTGAACGGTGCACCAGTGGCCTTCCAGCCAGAACTCGGTGACAGGCCTCTTCACCATGGCACCAGTGCCCTTTGTCCACCCCGCTGAACGCCTTGCCTCGCTGGTTCGGCCCTGCGCTTGGCTTCGTTCGCGAAAACCGCGAAGGCAGGTCCCCCGACATGGCGAAGGTGGCCATGACCGCGGGGTCCGTGATCTGGGAACAGCCCTCTGGGTAGTTGGGACCTCGTCAGCGGTCGGGGAGCTGGTCAAGCAAAGGGGGGAAGGGGATGGGTCAGGGATGTGTCGGGGTGGGTCTCATTTGGGGGGGTCAGCGGGGCGCTTGGAGGAGTGACATGGACAAGTTGGTGAAACTTCAGCGTGAAACAGTCGAGAATTGACTATTATAATCATATATCGTGTTTTTTTTTCTGCTTTTTCCCTGGCAGCATTATAGCATTGCAGCGAATGATTGGATGTCCGTCCCACCCCAAACACTGTAAAACGATTGATCCACCGACTCGTCCACCCGCTTTCACCACCGAGCTCGCCGCCTGGACGTCTTGGACGCTGCACGGATCGCTTCACCCACCGGGGCTCCCGGGCTACAAAGGCTAACGAACCAAACGTTGAAGGTGGGCAACGGTGAAGGCACCATCCTGCCGCGTCGAGAAACTCGACGTGTGGAGGACCAAAACGAGTCGCTCGAGCTTGCGCAGCGGTTTTCTGGACGAGGGCGTAGCGTCGTTCCTTCGGCCCCCCGGGACGGCGATATTGGAAGACCCCGCGGTCTTCGAACGCTGAAGCGTTGCGGGAGTATGATCTCTATTGATCTCTCACTAAACACTTCGGACGGTCTCGTTGTCAACGTTGGGCCGTTGCAAGGGTTGAACACCTGCCCCTGTTTCCTTGATGGGACACTTCTTCAGCGCGAAAGGGTGCCCAAAAGCTTAAAGCTTCCCAACGCCACTCCATGACGCCACGTAGCCGGGACCCCGAGCTGCGGGACCCCGAGCTGCGGGACCCCGAGTTGCTGCTGCAGCTCTCAAATCCCGAGGCTTTTTTTGGAGGGAATCGCCGTGGTTTCAGGGAGTGCTTGGGCATTTGATATCCAACTGGTGGTCATGGCAAAGTCAATGACCATTCACTGTCAAAGACTTCACGCATGACTTGAGGTGAATTAGCACCAGAACACGGCACATGAAAGCTCTGCAGTAAAATCCTTTGGAGGTCTTACACATACCCCAGTAAGTCCCAGTTACCACTGTAGCTGGTACCCACGAATGCCTTCTCTGAGCATTTCACGGTCACACTTCCACACCGATGGCAGGGGTCTCCATGGCAGGGGTCTGACCCCGACACCGAAACGCAGGGGGGTAACGGGGCCCTATGTATTTGAGGGCCAGGGTAGCTCTTCTCCACCCAAACACCCCACACCCACCCCACACTCAATCCACGCCCCAAGAACGCGCTACTAGTCATTGAGATCAAGCGGCACATTGAACCGGAAGCCATAGCTGCCCGACTTCAGCGTGACCCTGTCGTGCACCCGCCATCGGTCGGAAAGCCCGCCAGACCGTGCGTGGGGTTTGATAGGCTTAGGCGATTAGGTTGATGTGATTTCCTACAGAGAGCGAATCATGCCAATGGAACACCTAGAAGAAACGTGAGAACCTTGAACTTTCTCTTTGTCAAATTGTACGAGGGACAACACTTTATTCTATGTATACATCAATCAATATTTCCAAACACGCTGCATTCGCCAAAATCTGCTAATTACTAATTGACTTAATCTTAAAAAACTACACAACAAGCGCGAAAAGGAGGCCCTGCATTGGCTGTGCCATCTTTGAATCCCAAACCGCCGCTGCTACCACCGCGCCAGGAGGAGCGATTCAGCTCCAAGGAGATTCTCAAGCGGTCCTTCAGCAACGTGCTCGACCGAGAA